GGGGGGGGGGCTCTTGCACTAAAATAAGCAAGGGGCCAGTGGCCATAGTTGGAACCAGTTATGAGTAAGTGTCCTAGAAAAGCGAAGCCAAAGACAGGTCTGTACCGAAATAGTTCGGAAGTGGGGGAGGTGTGGGGGGGAGTACACAGGGCGAGCAGGCATTTAAGAGAGCAAAAGTGAAAATTACCCAGTTTCTCTAACGAGGAAACTCTCTGAATGCCTCTATTCATGAGCCTTCTGTGATACGTTTGTTCTTTGTTGGGGAGTGCGTCAGAATCTCCTAGAGAATGTTCTATTACAAACCTGCCTGGCCCCAGGTCAGCCTGACTGACTCAGACTCCAGGGTGGGGGCCCAGGAGGTATAGTTGATGGAAGAAGTCTAGGGGATTCGGCCTCCCACCCGGCCAGGGAGCACTGCTGTGGCCGATAAACTGAGGCCCATTCCTTACTCTCTGGTTTGGACTCCCTTCCTCCGTTAGGGTCCTCATGTTAATCAATATAGTGTCTCCAGTTTCCTACCTCTACTTGCTGCAGAGAGAAACATCTGGGGGAGGAAGACACATTCTCCACCTCTGGCTCTTCCTCCCTTTTCACTCCTGCTCAGAAAACTTAGTTCTGAAATTCAACCACTCAGTATTCCTCCATGAACATCCACCACCTGAGATAACAGAGCTTGAGAAAAACTCACAGGACCCTCTGGACCTAACCCAGCCCCCTCCCATGTTGATCAAAGAAGATCCCCAAGTTCCCTGGGGATGTAGACCAGCCAAACAGTGCTTTTCTTTCAGGCACCCATCTTTATGCGTCACTTCTGGGGTATTGTGGGAGTCAGGCCAAGTGCCTCCTCTGTTGCCAGGGATACTGTAGCTAAGGGCAGGGCCTCTGGCTCCAGGGCAGCAAGGATGGCCGCAGGGTGTTAATTACTGGGGCCTGAGCGGGATCCTGCGACGAAGGTGCCCTCCTGCCCTTATAGCCACAGCCCGAGGGAGACCCCTTCTTTCCTAAAAGTCCAAGGATTATCTTCCCTGTCCGCATTGCCCGTCATCTTTGGAGCTTCTGGAAGGGTTATGCAAGAGTTTTTGCCTTTGGAAATCTTGCCGTATAGCTGGACACAAGGTTCCCATAGTGGAGTGGCTGCCTGCCACGTGACGTTTGTGACATTAAAGGGAGGCTCTCCGTTAATACGAGAGATAGTTGTTCTTGAAGCTCGGGAGACTAAGAGTGGAACACACACGTCAAATTACTGTTCGACTTGCTGGTTTTGTTTTGGGTTGGTGCCTGGCCTGTTAATTTTACGTGGTAAATCTTCATGTTGAGTAAAACAACACTTGATGAGAAAAGTAATTGACTTCTGCACTTGGTGCCAGTGAAGTGTTTTGATTCGATTGCCAGAAAAGTTTGTGAATATGACACTGAGTTGCTTTGGAAAATGAAATGCAACTTTTTTTTTTTAATTTTTTTTTTTCAACGTTTATTTATTTTTGGGACAGAGAGAGACAGAGCATGAACGGGGGAGGGGCAGAGAGAGAGAGGGAGACACAGAATCGGAAACAGGCTCCAGGCTCCGAGCCATCAGCCCAGAGCCCGACGCGGGGCTCGAACTCACGGACCGCGAGATCGCGACCTGGCTGAAGTCGGACGCTTAACCGACTGCGCCACCCAGGCGCCCCTGAAATGCAACTTTTTATGAAAGTCTGGGTGATAGAAAAATGAGAGGATGAGTAACTGAGGTGTAGCCTCTTTGAATGTAAACACTAACAAAAGATCATTGAAGGGGCACCTGGCTGGCTCAGTCGGTGAAACATGTGACTCGATCTCGGGGTTGTAGGTCCAAGCCCCACATTGGGTGTAGAGATTACTTAAAGATAAAATCTTCAAAAAAAAAAATCTGTTAAAGACTTTTTTAAAGTCTATGCGTTTTGCTGATGACAGTGAGTAAAATATACCAAGTATCCTTGATGCCTTAGGACCACTTATTCTCTGCATCCACAGAGTAGAGCTTCACAGACCCCTCTGTGGAACATACAGAACTTTTTTTTTTTTAATATGAAATTTATTGTCAAAA